AAACTAACACTGCACATCACTCTGAACACACCATCCCCACTGTCAAACATGGTGGTGGCAGCATCATGCTCTGGGGGTGCTTCTCTTCAGCAGGGACAGGGAAGCTGGTCAGAGTTGATGGGAAGATGGATGGAGCCAAATACAGGGCAATCTTGGAAGAAAACCTCTTGGAGTCTGCAAAAGACTTGAGACTGGGGCGGAGGTTCACCTTCCAGCAGGACGACAACCCTAAACATAAAGCCAGGGCAACAATGGAGTGGTTTAAAACAAAACACATCCATGTGTTAGAATGGCCCAGTCAAAGTCCAGATCTAAATCCAATCGAGAATCTGTGGCAAGATCTGAAAACTGCTGTTCACAAACGCTGTCCATCTAATCTGACTGAGCTGGAGCTGTTTTGCAAAGAAGAATGGGAAAAGATTTCAGTCTCTAGATGTGCAAAGCTGGTAGAGACATTCCCTAAAAGACTGGCAGCTGTAATTGCAGCAAAAGGTGGTTCTACAAAGTATTGACTCAGGGGGCTGAGTAATTACGCACACCCCACTTTGCAGTTATTTATTTGTAAAAAATATTTGGAATCATGTATGATTTTCGTTCCACTTCTCACGTGTACACCACTTTGTGTTGGTCTGTCACGTGGAATTCCAATAAAACTGATTCATGTTTGTGGCTGTAATGTGACAAAATGTGGAAAAGTTCAAGGGGGCCGAATACTTTTGCAAGCCACTGCCTTCCTTATTCAATATAAGAGAAAAGAGGACGTTTGAACGGAGTAATATGTACTATAGTATAACTAAAAAGTTGGATCTTTTTTCATTATTAAATACTAAGTGGGACAGCTGGACTATTTAAAGGACTAGTTCACATAAATAAATTAAAGTTGGCTATATTCCTAAAAATCCGCTGCAGTTGACGCCGATCCCATAAACTCCCGCTGATAGACAGCATAGTAGTTTGGAAGATTATTAACATTAGATGACATGAACGTAACAATGTGTATGTAGCTGAATATGTCCAACAAAAGCCCAAGAGAGGAACAAGTTGTGCTCTTGTGATTTGTTTGGTTAGTTATTCAGTTGCAAACCAGTGAGCTTTTAACTTCAACAGGCCTTTAGTGCAGACAAAGGAGCAGTTGACTGTCAGGTGTCAAGTGTCTGGCAAATTCACTGCAACAGAATGACAATCATATGAAAAAGATGGTAAAATAGACAAGATTATAGGCTAATCAGAATAAATTGCTCTGCTTGCATCCCTATGTTTGAAATAAATTTGCTCTAGTGGGTGTACTTATGCCTCAGCAATAATAAATGGCATTGCTCTTTTGAGTTTTGATAGAAAGAGGCAGTCGTAACATTTTTAACACATACGTTATCCAGCAAGTTCCTTTAATTTATACAGCACTCATGTCTCATTTGAATGCAGTCAAACCATATCACTGTTATTTCAGTCTAAACTGAGAGTTGCCCGATTGTTGCCAAAGAGGAGTATAAACTTTGACACGTGCAAGTCGAGTGCAGGTGTGGTTCGAGAGGTCTGCTGCATAAAGACATTTTTCCACATCTTTTTAGGGACGGCAAAACATGTCTGAACGAGTTAGTCCGCTAATGCTGAGCCTTAATTAAATATAATAGTCTTATTTAAGATCAAATTAACATTCTTTAACTTATCTCAGTTACCATGGCAATGACAAAAAAAGAGGGCGTAAAGGACTTGTTTATATTTATTTTTCAAAAGGTACTTTGGCAGCTTTCACTAGTTTGCCTTGTGCCTGCCAGCCTAAAATCACCAGAAGGTGTAAATTGCCAAATACTGCTACAAACAAAATATTTTGTAGTTTTTACAATCCTGCATAATATTTCACTCCAGCACATGAATAGATGTGACCTTGGGTTTTAGCTTTTTCATTAGTAGCAAAATTATGCATTCTGATATTTCCGTATAGCTATTAAAATACATTGAGCAGACGCCCTCTGTATTACTCCTGTCCGTGTGATGAATTGGCCTACTTCTCGGCGTCAGAATACAAATAACATATTTATGTGTTTTGTGGCCATATTGGTTTTTGGAAGTTTGAAAAAGCATACCATATTCAGAGTGTGGTGTAGATAATGTTTGGTGTTTGTTGCATTCTGTATTAACTACGTGCGTCTCTCTCACCTCTTTCTAGGATCTGCTAGTCGTCGTTGTATGCTGGACAATAATGGAGTTGCTTTCTGGGGTCCTCCGAGCTTCGCCAGATGCGTCTCACTTGAATATAGATATTTACATTTATCTGTAAGTAATGTCAAATGATTACAATAAAACAAACAATTGATAAAAAAATAATTATGATGGACAAGAGAAAAAAAAGCTAAAAAGATGTACCAATTTAAGCCAGTTACAGTGCATCCGGAAAGTATTCAAAGCACTTTGTCATGTTACAGCCTTATTCCAGACTGGATTACATTCATTTTTTCACTTCAAAATTCTGCACAATTCCCCATAATGACAAAATGAAAAAATTCTGCTTGAATTTTTTTGGAAATTCACTAAAACAAAAGTAGCAAAAGTTCAGAAGTATTCACAGACTTTTCCTTACACTCGAAACTGAGTATCCTGTTTCCACTGATCGTCTGTTAAATGTTTCTGCAACTTGACTGGAGTCCATCTGTGGTAAATTCAGTTGATTGGACATGATTTGAAAAGGCCCACACGTGTCTGTATAACGTCCCATAGTTGACAGTGCATGTCAGTGCATGCTCTGGTCTGATAAACAAAGATTGAAAGCGTCACATCTGGAGAAAACCAGGCACTGCTCATCACCACGTCAATAACATCCCTACAGTGAAGCATGATGGTGGTGGCATGCTGTGGGGATGTTTTTCAGCACCAGGAACAGAAAGGGTAAATGGACTGGTCCTTATATAGCGCTTTTCTTCTCTTCTGAGCACTCAAAGCGCTTTATACAACTTTGTGCATTCACCCATTCGCACAAGCACATTTTTCCTAGGTGCTTTTTAACTGACATTCATACACATTCATACTCCGATGGATGCATGGGAGAGCAATTTGGGGTTAGTATCTTGCCCAAGGATATTTGGCATGCAGACTAGGGGAAGCCAGGAATCGAACCACCAGCAGCAGTAGATGACTGATCAGTAGATGACTGCTCTACCGCCTGAGCTACAGCCACCCATGGAGGTGGCTGTAGCTCAGGAGGGTAGAGGGAAAGCAATCTACAGAGACGTTCAAGAGCACTCTGGACCTCAGATTTGAACGAAGGTTCAAGTTCCAACAGGACAGCACACAGCTAAGATAACAGCCTGGACTTGAACCCAACTGAACATCTCTGAAGATGTGTACCGATGCTCCCCATCCAACCTGATGGAACTTGAGAGGTTCTGCAATGAATGGTGTGCCAGGCTTGTAGCACCATACTCTAAAAGACTTAAAGCTGTAATTATTAAGTATTGGGAAAAGTGTACGAATACTTATGTTATATTTTAGTTTGTTATTTCTAATAAATTTGCAAGAATTTCAAGCAAACCTTTTTTCACTTTGGCATTATGGGGTATTGTGTGTAGAATTTTAAGGGACAAAATGAATTTAATGCAATAATGCTGTAATATGACAAAATGTGGAACAAGTGAAGCGCTGTGAATACTTTCCAGATGCACTCGAGTTGCTTCATCTGCTTAGTGAAACATGTTTTTCAAGTTCTTCTCTATCTGTTCTTCTCTTTTGTTTTTGTTTTTATCTCTAATGTACCTCTCTTTAACTACCCTAAAAAAAAGTTTTCTCAAAATTGCAGAGTGTTTTTACCCAAGACTCGCTGCTATCTCTAATTAGCTTTTCCAGAGCTTTGTGCTCACACTTATCAATTAATGAAGAGAGCTAATGAATGTGTTCATCAGCGAAACTGTTTTCCTGCTCCGTGAACTTCAACCTTTTCCATCTCCTCGATGATGGCGGAAGGAGATGGGGGTCAGGGATCGTGCATGACAGAGCTGATTGCACTGTTAGCTTCTGTTCCAACCTTTCATTAATACCAGGAGTCAGTAATTAATTTTCTGTGATTGCTGTGATGTTCTGTTCCCCCAGCTTCTTTCTCTTCCTCCCTCACTCTCTTTCTCTTTGCCTCACACGCACAGACTATCTTTTTGTATCTCTTTCTCTGAAGTGATGAGATCCAGTTTCTGTCTGAAAGTGCTGCAAGGCTTCGATTTGCTTGCCTATTTTAAGCACAAGCAAACACACACACACACACACATACACAAAAAAGAAAAAAATCCAACCATGTACATATATACTCCCGTCTTGAAATATCCCCGTCGGCTCATATCCAAAACATTCCTGTGATTTCTTTGTCAAAAACACAATCTCGGGTGTGCTATTTCTGTTTTTCTGCTACGTAGTTTGAGTAACACCATGCGCAACAGCAAAGGGTTTACCTGTAATCATGAGACAGGATAAAACACTTCTAAAAATCTCCTTTTTTTAATGCATTTTAGTTACGAGAGCATCTCGCGAAGGGTCAGAGGACCCTGGCTGGGGAGGGCATGTCTCAGATCGTACGGAGTCTCCTGGAGCTCTTGCAGAGAAGGAGCTACTACAGTGGCGACCTTCTCTTTTCCACGGAGATCCTGCGAAATGTGACGGACACCTTCAAAAGAGCAACCTACATCCCAGCTCCCGACGACGTGCAGGTAGGAAAAACGTCTCGGCATTCGCCCGGAGCCTTCTAAAGTCACCAACCATGACATAAATACATAAATAAATAAATAAATCTCACACAAACACACACACACAGTCACTTACAACAAAAATTTATTCCATCCGCAGCTTCACTTTCTACTGCACAGGGTGTGCATAACAATTAACTACAGCTGCACAGTTGCTATGGCCTCACAGGGCGGATTTTTTTTTTAGCAGCATTTTTCTTTTTCCAGTGCCTGTAAGCGAGCAAAATGTTCCCGTCTCAGTCGATCATTTCACAGACGTTATTATTTATGACTTACAATATGCCTGTGTACAGCAAATGAATGAACCAGACATGATTGAGAATAAGAGGCAGTATTGCTGCAGTGCTAACCACAGCAAGGTTATCAGTAGTTATTTGATATCCAGGAAATAACTGCCTGATGGTCTGGCTTCAGCAACTGAGCACATCCTTTTTTATTTCTTTTTATCTAGAAATTCTTCCAGATTGTCAGCCACATGTTGGACATTGAAAATTTAGAAAAATGGGAGGACGCTCACCAGGTAAGGCTCTGCATTTATGTGAATGTCTGGTACTTTATGTCCTCGTGTGCGCTTCTGTGCACCTCCTTATCATCACAACTGACTGTCTGCATCACCAAGTGTCATAAATAGATCTTTTTGTAAATGTTTATGTGTGGTGATGGAAAATGGGTTTGATTCTACCTATTATTAATGTTTCTTTGAGTTTTAAAAATGCACAATATCCTGTGCGTCTTTGTGCAAGCTTTGTATGGGACCCAATGTGGTACCCCTGCAGCGAATTGTGTTTGCGTGCCATCTGGATATAATAATTTTAAGAAAAAAAGCCAAATATAATATTATAAACCATGTGATTAGGATTTACAGCCCAGGAACACATTCGGTAGTTGAGGTAATGCAGTGAGTAAAAAGGTATCAGTGGTTGAGACGTGTCTCATAGAAGATGGTTGGCTGTGGGTTATAATTGCACTTATGACATCCTTCCGTTCATCTTTCTATCATCGTGCTGTCCACAGATCGCTCCCGGTGCTGCTTTGCTGATGAGGATATTGGAAGATTTCATTCACCTCATTGGAGAGGCCCAGAAGCCTTTTCAGAGTTTTCTAGTGGTTACCAACAACCTCAGTAAGGCCCACTCATTGCTGTCAGATCACACAGCTTCACAGGAGCAGATGAAAGATTTTTTGTACACAAACATCCGGACGACTTACAGTACTGTGCAAAAGTCTTGAGCGGCTTGACATATATAGTTGATGAATCAACCAGAGGTCCAGATGTATCTCTCAGGTCCTGTGTCAGGTCTTTGTTGGATTTTCTTTTCTTATTTTTGAAGGACATGACTTTCAGATACTGGTAATTTTTTCTGTAGATAGTTTTTACCCCTGATTTTGACATTCATACCATAGGTGCATCTACTAAAACTCTCAGGTGAGTTTGGATCCCAGTGACCTCAAGGTGAATTTCAGACGTTAACTTTTCTGACAATCACCTATGATTGTTAGAAAAGTTTCCAAACGTTTCTAAAAATTCCAATAATTCAGAATTTAACTACATATGACCAGCACATCAACTTTCAAAGATATTTATATATATTTTGTGAAATTGCTTTTATAGTTTTTTAGATTTATACTAGAGGAGCATCTACTGGGAAGCTGAGGGGTAGCATTGGTGGCTGCCAGTATTTTTAGGCCAGTCGGTTCTTCTTTTGTAGTCCACTTACCCAGTTAGGACACTTGGCACTTCATCCTGAGAAATGGCAAGCATTTGGTAGATAGGTATTTGGGAATCACCTTGCTGGTTGTAAAAGTACTATTTTATTAAAGTCAAACTGTATTATTGCTGCCATTTTTCATAGATTCGGCTACAGAAATTGGAACAAATGATGAGCTGCTAGTAGCAAAGTGCCTAAAGAATTTAAAATGGGTTCTCTTTTATGTGTAGACACAACTCTGGTTCATTTCTTGAGTTAGATACTCTTTTTATTTTTGAATGATGGTCAGTGTTAAGTGGTTTAACAGACAAAAAATAAGTGTTCCTCTATATATGCTCAGGTAAAAGGACCGAGCTGAAAATGAGTATTTCAAGAAATTCTTGCTCTGTAGAAGCAAAATGGCTCAAGACATCTGCACAGTAATGTATTTCATCATAGTTAGAATTCAGTTGGGAGGGTTTCATTTGTACTATGCATGATCGATGATTTAAATTTTTTTGTATCCAAGTATTGATTTCAATCTGTAAACACATGACCAGCACGTCGATTTTTAACAGTGTATTTTTTTGTGAAGTTTTCTTTATTGTTTTTGTCTGATTTTTGTCTTTTAACCAGCACTCTTTGTTTATTTTCCCAGTGTCATGCCTAAGTGAGTTTTCATGTGGGTTTTGTTTTCATTTGTCGTTTGTCCAGTGGTAACCATTCAGAGAGAACCAGTGTCAGCAGTTTCCAGCGATATCAACTTCCCCATGAAGGGCCGGAGGGGCATGAAGGACTGGGCCCGAACAGCGGAAGATAAGCTCTACATCCCGAAAGAGGTTTTCACCATCCCACCTGAAGGTAAGAAAAAAAGGAAATGTGGTTTGTCTACTGACCAGGGTTGATCTAATCTTTTAGGTTGCCAGTTTCAGCTCATAAACACAAGATCATATGTATTTCTTTGTTTGGCTTTTTTCTATAAAAAAGATGGGAAACACAAGGTTAGGAAGGCTTTCATAGTCTATTCTTAACTATAAAGTACATACGTTGTAGTTGTAATTCTTGCTCACTCTCTTAAATCTTTGATACATGAAAAGAACCAACTCATGGTTTCATAATCTAAGGTCAGATCAGCTTGGCAAGTAGAGGTTCCCCCGTGTGAATTCTCATACTCAGAGATGTTTCTCACTGAAGCAGAAGGTTTCTCAGGGGCGTTAAAGGGTAGTGCTAAGAAGGATTTGGACTGTAAAGAGGCCCCAGAGGGCTTCTCAAGAAGATGCCAGTCTTTCATCTGTGAAGAAGTGTGTTGCTTCCCCCTGAGAGCATTGAGTCTCATACAATTTTCAAAATCCATTCACTTTGAGCAGCGCAAGAATGTTGACTGCGTTTAGTCGAGGCTACATTTTTTTTTCGTGCAGTTTCAAGCAAACACAAATGGCGAGAGTTAAAAAAGGAGGAGAAACTACATAGATGATCCCAGAATGGGATGCAAGATAAATTTGTAAAGGAGAAAGAAAAATGATGTTAAATAGTAATGGTTTGAAGTAGAAATGAGAAATACAGAGGCAGATGCTATCCTCTACGAACAAAGGCAAAGGTCGCTTCCCACAGGAAATTACACTGGCAGACTTTCAGTCAGGCATCCCCGTCCCCTACCTAAATTAAAGTTCAGAGAGACTGCAGGCCAAGAGAGCAGAGCTTCCTCTGACCTCTGACTTGCACTGATGGCACAAACTCCCTTTGATTGGCGCTCAAGATATCCTGTATACTAACCTCAGGGCACGTCACCTCTGATGCTTTATTGTGCACCATGTATTGTGCTAATTCTAAACCACCTAGCATCCAGCCTTCTACAAGCCTATTAAGCGCATTTTTATGGAACAGTGAATTCAGATATCTCAACGGTTGAACAGCAGGTTTTAAGCTGGATCGGTTTAACGCCATTGCTTTTCAAAGTTTCCGCCTTGCTTGCTCTCTCCATGTTGTGTTTTTCGAACTTACTTTCCTTACTTTATGCCCTTTTTCCTCCAATCCTGTTCTTCTTTCTTGTCCATTATCCTTATTGTTTGTCGTGTTGAATGTTTTGTCTCTTGCAGGGCTTATTGTGCCATAAAAGTGACCAGCTGCATTACAGTTACGCTGTGATATTCAGGACATGCAATTGGCATTTTAGCATACACTATTTGGTAAATTGTTTCATCCAAACCGCATATAGCTTTATGAGTTAGGACATTATTAGTACTCTTTGCCCTGTGGGAACTCTGCCACTTCCCATTGGCAGTTCATGAGTTGAGGTCCTCAGTTGATTGCTATCGGTTTGTTTGGTTCATTTACCCTGTAATGAGAGCCTATCTCAGATGGACAGCTTAAACATGCTCATAAAGCCCTATTGGCACCGTTGTGTCTGTAAGTGCGCACGCCAGCGCACGCACGCAGAGCCAATAGATAGGTTCATGAATCGCTTCAGTGGGCAGAGGCTGGGACTGTTCTTCACTGATTTTCGAGGTGACAAACTTCCACTCTCCGTCTCTCTCTCTCCACTGTCTCTTATTCTCTTGCCATCGTACGAACAGGCAGCGCACTCTGTCTCGCAGCCATGTACACACATCGATCCAAACATACAAGTCAGCAATGGCTTCATATTTCAAATACACCATTGGTGGTTCATACTCATGGTTATGAGTTGTTAACTTTTAACTCAACAGCCGCCTCCTTTGCTGTTTTGCTTCTCATGATTCTCCCTTTCAGTGTGTGAGATGGAGCTGGAAATTCGGTGATTCATTGAGCATCAATTGGGGCTGACGCCTGAGTTGTTAACCTGAGTTGACATCTTCAGAAACACACTTCCACACTCTCTTAAAGACTGTGATATGTTAGGAAATGTTTAGTTTATTTTAAAAAGTATACCTGTATTTCTCATAAATGCAGGCATCTTTACTCTTTACTGCGAACTGTACTCGCACCACCTCTTTTGTAGATATAATAACAAGTGGTCACACACACGAATTATATCGGTGTGTGTGGTTTGAATTAAAGCAAATACTTGCCTGTAACTGCCATTGCGCTAACTGGATTAGGGATTTACAGGCATGCTCAATGAACTCATTGCTGTAGCGAGTGGTCCCATGGATTATTATGAACACAAGTCATACTTTAAACATCTAGATTAGAGTAAAAAGACAAGGGGCTAAATCACAAACACAGACAGAGAGGTCAGGACTGTTCATAGAGACGGTGGTCTCATAGGAAACTGGTGGTCTTTTTGCGGTCTTTTTCCTTAGTTGACAGAAACTTGGAGTGGGAATTAGTAATTATACACTTGGGAACACAGTTGAATAGATGATTCCAGTGTTCAATCTGCAGGAAATTATTTTGCAGACTTGTAAAAATTTGCATCCAGAGAACATGTCATTGTTCCAGCTGAAAATTGACAGGAATGGTGGCTTGGCAAGAAAAAGTAGTTAAAAGATGTAAAAAGGTATGAAAGGTGCTATAATTTGTGATGCCAACAAATAATAAACACTAGCTCTGCTCATTTTCCTTGGCCAACTGTTTGCCAGAATTAGAGTGGTAACCATTCTAGGCAGCTGCTTCCTGTGGGTATTTTTGGGACTTTGAACCAAGGTAGCTCATCACTGCATTGCACAATTGCCAGAAAAGCCTTTTTCCACAAAGGTTCAGTGTGGTTCTTTCTGGAAATACTTTATCCAGGCAGTGTCCTTATTACCTAAACCATACACAGTTTCCAGTAGGCAGAAAACATGCCACCTATAATTAAAAGCTGGAAATACACCAGATCAGTGCAAATCAGTGCCATGGGAATTCATGCAGACTTATTAGTAGTGAGCTGCTGAGGCAAAGACCATCAGCTGCATTGGATATTCACAATCGCATATACACGTGTCTTGAAAAGTTGGGTCAGTTTAGAAGTTTCCAAAATTTAAAGCAATTGAGCAACTTAGAAGTTAAATAGAAGGCAGTTAGTGGTAATATTGGCATCACTGAACCAAAGTAGCCTGAGCCTGATCAATATGTTTATTTAAGCAGGAGACCACACTTGTTGTGGTGTGCAAAACAGAAAAGTACTGAAAATTAAGGAAGAAAGAAAAAAACAACTGACAAGGAGCTTTCTGTCTTCGATTAAATTGCTAAGTTATGGCTTAGAATCAACTGCAAGAATATATTTTCCTGATAAATGACATATTAAAGTTCACAGCTGGTGACTGGTGGTTTGCCATTTTCCTGGATTACAGCTGACCACCAATCATTTAGATGTTTAGCAAGGGCAGAGTGACAAAAAGACTGTTCATGGGAAATTAGAGTTTTGTGATTGAGTGCTTTTGTGGTATTAATCATCCTCAAGCGTAGGAGTGCCACCCCCTCACATAGATTTACCATTTACCCATAATACATTGACTTTCTCATTTGCATGCCTTGGCAGACACTGTCCAATTAGGATCCATCAAACTTGCAGGCTTTCTCATGCTGACTTTGATCTGTTTTTTTTTGCCTCCTCGCAAGTCTCACAATTGCGTTTTTTTCCACAGTTGAGATCTTTTTGTCTCTTCCTCTTTCTCTTCTCGTCTGTCTTTGCATAGCTATCTCTCTTCCCAAGTATTACCTCTTAGGCAGCAGGCAGACAGATTTTGGATGAGTCACCCAGTGTGTCTGATACCATCAGCCCTCTCTGTCCCCCCCCCCCCCCACACACACACACACACTCTCTCTCTGCTGATGCCTCTCCGTTGCTTCTCTCAGCCTAAAAGGGCAAAGGAGGGAGTGGCATCTCTCAGCATGAACTCTTTCCCTCATACTTTCCCCCTTCTGCTTCCTTCTGCCTCCTCTCACTTGAGACAAAGTGACATTTACAGAGGGACACTACATCTCCTTGGGAGCTCCTGCTCTTTTTGGCAAAAGAACACTCAATAGAGCGATGGAAGGCAAGGGGGTGTAAAAGAGGACTATTGAAAAGAGTGAAAAAAGTTGAAAAGTGCATGGGAGAATAGCAACAACAACAGAGATGGATAAGAGGGGTGTGTGCTGAGGTGGAGGAGAAGAGGAAGAAAGGGGATTTGGAACTAACATGAAGCGAGAGGGACAAGGACAGTGTCTGAAGTTGTCTGACACACTGACTTTTCTTTACTCATGTTTCGTGCATGTTGGTAAAAGGCTTGCTTTTAGGAATGAGGTTTTGATACTTCAGCAGTTCTAGATACACAGTAATGCTGAGCTACTATAACTACTCAAAGGAAACAAAGTGACACAGTGTCTCCACCCACACAAAGTGTGAAACCAGCGTCTTGCACCTGACTTACGTTTTCAGCTGAGAAGCATAATTACTCTGGATATGGAATGTGTAGCTGCCAGAAACTTTGGGAAGGTGCTGCAATATTCTCACGTTTCTTATTTTGATGTAGCCACCAGAGCATGTTAGTGTCATTTAAGGAGTACATTTAAATTAGGCTGAAATGTTGATGGTTGATGAGAAAGGTAAATCTAATTATTTAGTTGACCAGTGCAACTTAGCTCAAACTTAATTTATGTTAAATAGTAAAACTACAGACTTTATGGAAAATCATCAGGCTTATCCTTAAAGAAAAGAGGGTTATTAGTTTTAAGCTATCCTGTCCACATCCTTCATTTCTCCACGATCTTCTATTGTCTATTATCAATGCACCAGAGGTGCTGCACTGTTAAATCAATCACATTATACATACTACTACTCACCGGTTACGTGGAAGGGCAAACACAGACCTGTCTGAAGGAGTTTATGAATGAAACAGATGAATAATGAATGCAATCCAGGTTTTGATGAAATGTCAGGAGATCAAGTTATGTTTGTTTCTTACAGCTGCATGCATATAGGTCATGCATATTTAAACAGTGGTAAACATTAGGAGCATTCATAGCGACTAATTTTCTGGGCGTTTAAACAAGAGAACAAACCTGCAGCAGCCTAGTGTAAAAGAAAACATTTCAAACTGCGCACACTTTAAATGCGCAATGTTAAATATTAGCCAAGCATATATTATATCTGTATTTTAGGAGATACATGAAACTGTTAATTACGTTCTTGATTAATTCAAGCGTGTTTTAAATGTTGCTGAAATTTGCAACACTGCGTTGTATGACATTGCAAATTCATAGGTTTTTTTTATTATATTTTGCATAGTTATCTAACCTTAGCAGTGCTAGTAGCAGTAGCATTGGTTTCTTCCTTGGTAGACTCAATACCCCAGTGCAGAATATGGTTACACATGACTTCAGTTACTGATTTATATTTCAGTTTATCCCAACAAAGCCAACATACGGCCATTTTTAAAATTAGTTTTTACATCAAAGTACTGTAGAAGCTGGTTAGCTCTACAGGTTAGAACTGCTCTCTTTACTTTCCCTGTCACTAGTCTACAACTTCTATTCTCAGAAATCGCGGGAGAGTGGCCAGTGGTGTCCTAACAACTTTGGCCTGTACATACTGTTACTTGTATTTCTGACACTGATTAGCAAGGGCAGCAATAAATCATACAGAGCATTTATGCACCACAGCCCAAAGTTGCGTCTTGAACTTGTCACAAGTGTCATGTCATTTTCATTGTGCTCCTAGCATCAGTGTATAGCCATTGATGAGTTTTAGCAGATTCTAGTCTAGAGCTGTTTGACTTTTTTTGGGGGGGGGTTGAAATAAAATGTTAGATATGAAATATTTTCCATTTGCCTCAAGCTGTTTTTGTTGTTGTGAAAATTTCATTGCATTGTAGTTTTCAGCAACAAGAGCCTTTGAACAAGATAACAAGGGGGATATGGGATAAACCGGCCGATGGGCTGAAAGATTTGGAGTTTATTTTGAAGGTATTAAAACGTACTGATTTTCCTTTCTTTCAGAGCAAGAAGCCGAAACAGAATCTACAATGTACTATGTCATTGGAGCCATCTTGTACAGGACACTTGGCATCATTTTACCTCCAGCGACGTGAGTACTTAATTATTCTTTATTGTTATTGAGGATTTAAAACCACATTTCATTCTTATCTTTTCGCTGTCCTTTCTTTTACCTTTCTGTAACTCATTTTTTTCTTGCGCTTTGTCTGACTTTTTAATCTCTCTCGTGGTCTCTTCATTCTTACAACAGTCTCTCTTTATTTCTGTGCATTTTCTATTTTTTCCTTCCCTTCTTTTGAACTTCCAGTTCTCCATATGTCTTTTCTTCCCTTTTACAACTCTGCTGCTTCTCTTGTGTCCTTGCGCCTGCTTACCACACTTATCAAAAAGCACACTTCCCTAGATGTTTCCCCCTTCCTTTGAGTTGTCAGTATATTTTTGGAAGTGTACACTGAGCTTGGATTGGGTGTGGGCCTAATGGGTCCCAAAACTTGCATAGAACATGCAGTAATAAAAGTTAGAAGAAATCAGGAGGTTGTGAAAAAGGCCATTGTGATATGGTGTTTGTGCTGGCCCCGGGCCCTTTTATTCAGGTCACTGCTCTTGGTTGTGGATTAGCTGGATCTGTTAAAACCCTTTTCACTCTGTAGCCATGCTGAATGTTAATGGGTGCAGTATTCTGTTTTTAGTCAGGTGCTCTCTTTCTTCTCTCTTTTAGATTTCCTCACCTCCTACTAGTTTGCTTTTGTTATTTGTTGGTATTTGTATGTATTATTTTTGGTCTTTCTCCAAAGTCATAGAGCCCATTCAGCTCCATCTTAAATGTACACCAACACTTGTCTAAAAAACAAAAAAGATAAAAAATAAAAAAACGAATGTCTTTACAGTCCGCCTGCAGTGATCAACTCCAAAATCCTGACCGTGACAATACGACCGGAACCACAACCCAGTGAGCCCATGGTGGTGGTGGAGCTGTCACCGCTATTAAATGTAAGTATATAAAAGGCTGTTTTCTTTTCTCTGGCAACTATTCAAGACCGCTAAGCTTCTGCTTCGGACCACTGAGAAAAAGTTAGATTGTCTTGTAAGCAGTTTTAAGGGATGCAAGAATGCATCACATCATGTTTTTTATTTTCATCATCTAAACTTTCCCAAATGAAAAAAAACCCCAAAACATTTAAAATAAATGAAGTAAATGAATTTTTTTCTAGTGCAAGGGTTTGAATTTTTCTGCTTGTAGTAAGTATTTTCCAAGAAAATAAATTTGTTTAAGGCTTTAAGCAACTCCTCTTCTCCCAGCCGACCCATGTTTTCTAAGTTCAGATGAAGCTCAAAGTGCTGCATGCTATAAAGCGCCATAGCGCTCGGTGAATTGCCTGAATAAACGCAGACCTTTTTGACTTCTCTGTATCGCGCTGTCTCCTGGTAGCTGTTCAGTTTATATTACATTGGAGTGCGTTATTATAACGACTCATGGGGTGTCTTCAGCGGAAAAGGACTAAGTGCTAGTTTAATGAGAGGCATGCTTCACGACCTCGATGTGATGTGGGTTTCTTTGGGCATTCTGCTGTGTAAAGGTGGACATAGTTTTGAAGATAATGTTAAATATTTAACAGCTCCCTCCTGGCAACACACACACACACAACCTCCTTCAGCTATCTTAGTGAGGACCTTCATTGACATAATGCTTTCCCTAGCCCCTTACTCTAACCCTAACCATTAAAAATGAATGCCTAACCCTAACCCTTACCCTAAACCTAACCATAACCTAATT